GTGTGTGAGAGAGAGAGAGAGAGAGAGTGTGAGAGTGTGTGTGCGTGTGTTTGTTGGTCGGTCCCTGTTGTTGGGTTCTGAGGGAAGCTGATAAATGCCCGGCGGTGTGTGTACTTGTACCCACCCCGTGGCGCCGTAGACATTCATCCGCAGCGACTGGGAGGGTGGGCGAACCGCCCCGCCGCCGCGGCAGTCCGCCCTGGAACTCGTTTTCATTTCGAGGCGTGCTTGGGGTGGCGTGGTGGTCCGGGTGCCATCACCGTACCGCCATTGATTTCCAATATGAGCATTTCTCGAGTCCGGGAATGCCGGCCGGCCGTCCCCGGAATCCAGCCGCTCCTGGAGTCTCCTGGAGTCTCCTGGAGTCTGTATCCTGGAGCCCCTGGAGGAAGGGGCGGCCTGGCGGGCAATGCGCGGCGCGCGGACCAACTTCTCCGAAAATAATTGTCGCTCTGTCTCTCTCGCGCCCCCTCGGGACGCCCCACGAGTGCGACGGAGACGGACTGAGACGAGTGTGGTGGGCTCGGCCCGCTAGGAGGCCGTGGGATGAAATGTGGCGGGGAGGGGGTGGCCGTGATGGTGCCCTTGTTGGCATACAAACGAGCGTCGTGGCTGCAGCGTCGCTAGTCACCCTGCAGCACCCCCTGCAGCGCCCCCTGCAGCACGCAGCCCGTGCGGTTTGCCGCCGCCTGCTCGACACCCGGCCTCCTCTCTCCGTCATCCTGGAGGCCGTGATGTTGGCGCAGCCTTTGCTCATGCAGAGCTCTAACGTCTGTCTCTTTTTTTGTTGCAGGTAATTGATGCGGGCCGTCGCTCCCTCTCTCTCCCTCGCCCTCCAGACCGGCTCAACAATCCCTGTGGTGGGGCCGAGGCCGGCCGAGGGTGGCAAAGAAAAATTGCCCCTCCAAAGTCAAGTGTAAACTTTTGCCGGCAAGTCTCATTTCGGTCCGGAGGCAAGGAGGCGCCGTGCGGGATCGCACCCCCCACCCCTTCACTCCCTCCCCCTCCGCGACGGCCGCCTCGCGCTACGATGCAGCAGCCAGCCCATCCCGTCTAGTGCCGGGGACTTTTCGACGCACAGTGGCCTTTTCTCGTTTACCAGCGCCGTTGCACTGCCGTCTGTCTGTCTGTCTGTCTGTCTGTTTGCCTGTCTGTCTGCCTGTCTGTCCGTCCGTCTGCCCCGTGACCTCCCCGACCTCCTGGCCGCCGTCTCGGCACACACGCCATGCGCGCTATGGCGCTATGCATACCGTGTCTCTCTGTAATTATACGGGCTAATCCCCTCGGCCCGTTACTGGCTCCGTTCCGTTCCGGCCGTTTCGGCGTGCTTGCCGTCGGCCACCTGGGCCTCCGGAAGCCGCGGGGGGGGGGGGGGGGGGGGTCGAAGCCCTTCTACGCCACTGGGTACGAGCTGTCGCCAATGTGCGCACATGTAGGCACCAGGCGCTCCGGATTAGTTCCGTCTCTGGTTTTATTCGGCTGTTTTCCCCCTCCTTTCGCGAGAGAGTTGTCAGGGATTCGGGCGGACAGAGATCTGCAACAGACAGACGGACGGACCGGCAGGCAGGCAGCTGGGCCCCGCGCGGGCGGCGGCGCAACGTATGACGTTGTCAGTGTGCGTCCGCTCGGTTGGCCACAGGGACACGGCGCGGGAAACAATGTGCTTACACCCCCCTCCCCCTCCCCGCCCCGCGGCTCCCAGCGCATTAACGTTTAGTGGTGACGTGGGGCGGGCTAGGCTAGGCCTGTTGGTCGGGGCCGCTAGCTGTGAAATTGAAATTATCCCTCCGGGGCTCGCGGGCCGGGACACTGATAGTGACGCCGGCGTCGGGCTGTCTCTCTCGCACCCGCGGGGCGCCCCGTCCGGGTGCGAGAGAGACAGCCTCCGCGGCGGGGGCGGCCGCAGACAGCGGTGCAAGGCTGCAAGGCTGAGACGGCCTGCCGTCCGGGCGGTGCCGGCTGATGCCAGAGGCGAGCCGGAGGGGATGGAGGGGGCTTAAAGTTAATTGGATATCGCAATGATTACAAGGGCTTTTTCATTGGGGATCAGAGCGAGAGGGATGTAGGGCCGTAATTGCATTTTGGCGGCCGGGGCTCCGGGGAGCTCGTTGTTCATTCATTATCTTTATTTGCGTTGCACCGCCACGCGATTTACGGCCGGTCGACGGCGGCCGGTGCACAGTGTGCCAGAAGACCGGCGGAGGCGGCCGAAACTCTGGACGCGTTTTGAGCTCCAGAGTCGCTAAACAGGACTCGAACCGAACGTGTGACCCCACCAATCGACTGCTCTCCGAACGAGGAATCCATTGGTGGGGTCACACGTTCGATTCGAGTCCTATTCAGCGACTTGTAGCGAGAGACGCGTGGCACGTGCAAAGGCCGTGGACGCCGTGGCCGCGAAGGCGCGCGTGTGTACATACTAGTGAAGTGTGTAGGCGCCTGGTCGCTAGGTCAGTAAATGTAGGGCAGCGCGAGCGAAGGGCGAGGGGCGAGGGCGGCCATCTGATTAGAAAGGCTTTCATCATCGCCTGGCGCCTGGTCTGGCCTAGCCCCGCCCCGGCCGATGCTTGTTTGCACCTGTCCGGAGGCCAGGGCTGGCCAGGGCCTGGCGCCTGGCCCGGGGCGCGGGGTCGCCAGTCGATAGCTTGAGGCCGTACTGCCGCACTCGTGCTGCCGTGCCCACCTCCTCGCTTAGGGTGCTGCGTGAAGCACGCCCGGCCCGGGGTCTTCGACCTCGCCCACTTCGGTATCGCTTGGCCCGGCCCGGTCGGTCGTATTGACCACCAGCACCTGCAGTGGCGTTGCCTGGCCAGCGGGCTGATACCGAGAGTCGTTTTCGTCGCTCTGTCTCTCCCGCACCTATACGGGACGCCCCGCGAGTGCGAGAGAGACAGGGCGACGACTCTCGGAATCAGTGTGCTGGCGATGCCGGGGCTGCCCCCCTGGACTTGCTCTTCCCCTTCGGCCAGTAATGATGTAACGAGTTCCGGACGCCTCTGGGGGACTGGCCGCTGCGGCTTGCCGTGCGGTGCGCGCTGCGCGCCGCGTGATTTGATTTGATTTTCCGAAGGGAGGGCGCGTTTTGCGGCTGGCCTCGTGGATGACGCCCCCTCCCCCTCCCTTTCAGCTACGCCGCTGGGGACCCGCCCGGGCGGCGCCGTGTCGCAGTGTACCGTGCACCGCGACGCGCGACGGCTTTAGGGGGGTCGTCGCGCCGCCCCCCCCCCCCCGCCAAACCTCTCTGGTTTGCTTCGCCGGTGTGGCCCCGGCTCTGCCTTGGCTCTGCCTTGGCTCTGCCCGCTCTGCCCGCGCTCCAGCCAAGATGGGAAAGAAATGGAAGTGAAACAAGGAGGGGGAGGCGAGCGAGGAGAGGCCTCGGGGACGCGATGTATGTCAAACACTCGACGGGCCGCCGCTTCGCCAGCTCGCCGCCGCCGCCGCCCCAAAGGCCTCAAAGGCCCCAAAGGCCCCAAAGGCCCCAAAGGCCCCGGCTCGCTCCTCGTCTGAGAAATGGCGACTCGTCGAGGTGCAAGAGGGCGGGGCGCAGTGGGCCAGAAGACCGGTGGCGGCGGTCAAAATCACGGACGCGTTTTGAGCTCCAGAGTCGCTAAATGGGTCTCGAACCGAACGTGTGACCCCACCAATGGATTCCTCGTTCGGAGAGCAATCCATTGGTGGGGTCACACGCTCGGTTCGAGTCCTGTCTAGCGACTCTGGAGCTCAAAACGCGTCTAGAGTTTTGGCCGCCTGCACCGGTCTTCTGGCCCACTGTGCAGTGCCCGGCGGTGGCGGCGCCCCGAGCTGATGACTTCCAGGTCTGCGAGGCACGTGACGTGACGAGAATGCAGCGCGCCGAGTCCACTCTTTCCCCCTCCCTTCCCCCGGGCACCAGATCGTAAAAGAAATCTTGAAGACGCGGCCATCTCGTTCCGAGATTGGCGAACACGGTCGCCCGTAAAATAGGAGCTCGCGGAGGTGGAAGGAGGAGGAAAAGAGAGAAAAAGAGGGGGGATGCTGCTCGGCTCGGGGAGATGGACCGCGCTGGCTCCGCCGTAAATAGCAATAAATATTGATAAATTGAGCACGTAAGCCGGATTTAAAAGTTGGGCTGCAAGTTACCGCCAACGGGGCGGTGCCCTCGCTAGTTTGTTGCTGCTGACGAGGCGATGGCCCGGGGGAGCAGGCAGCACTCCGAGAGTCGTCGCTCTGTCTCTCTCGCACTCATGGGCGGCCCGCCTAGGTGCGAGAGAGACAGAGCGACGACTCTCAGTCTGCCGCCCGACGGCTTTCCAGCGCGTTGAGCGGGAACGTGCCCGCCTGCCACTGCCTGCCGCTGCCTGCCCAATGGTGCGCGATATGGCGGCGCTGTTATGAATTTGCCGCCCGAGTTTTGCTAAGTGGCGGGGGAGGGGAGGGGGGGAGTGCGAGATTTGAAAGCCTTCTGCCCGACGCTCCCGCCTGCCCGGTGTATTCCGCGGGGTGTTGTCTGTGTCGGGGGCGTCGTCGGGCCGCATTTCCTCCCGAGATCCGGAATCCGGGGGCAGGGGCCTCTCCGTCTGTGAGACGGCCGCGCCGCCCCCCGCCGCCACGCCACCGGGATGGCAGTGACATGCACGAAGTGGCACTGCCGCCGCCCTGCCGCCACATTAGCATGGCGTCAAAGGGAGGGAGGACGAAGACGCCAGCGAAGTTTGCGCCGAGTTGTCTCTGCGGCACTGGCAAGGAAAGAGAAAGGCCGACCTGCCTGCGGTGCACCCCGCCGACCCCGCCCGAGAAATCTCCCTTTCGCGGCGCCCCTCTTTGTTTTGGCTCGAGTGCCAAAGCCCCGAGGAGACCTACCCTACCCCCAGACACCCCCAGACAGTACAGGACAGCTCGATGCAGGACCCGTTGCCGCCCGTTGCCCCCGGGGACCGATTTCTCATCCACTCTGACACCCCCACAGCCGTCCCCCCTTCCCCGCACCACGGCGTCGCAGGGATGTGCGTCAGGGCCCGACCATGAGAGCGGGCCCTCGCGCCATTGTCGCCGTCGAGGAAGAGGACGCCGCCGACGAGGAGCCGCAGCCGCCTAGAAGACCGGCCCCATGACCGCCGCCACCTCCGGGGGGCTGCAGCCGCCGCCGCCCCCCGGCGGACAGCCTCGCACGTCCAATCAGAAGCGCCCGCCGCCGCGCGTCGCAGCCAATCCGAGCCAGCAGCCCGCCAAGCAGCAAGCAGCGCCTACCGTGCCGACGCCCTGCTGCTCCTTCCAGACCAGCCTCGGCCCCCCGGAGTACCGCAAGTGGCGGCGCCTGCACGGCCTGCAGCTGCCGCTACACCCGCAGCAGGTGGCGGGGTGGGTGACGCTGGCCGCCTTCACGGCCGCCACGTTCCTGGTGCTGGTGCCCGCCCTGGGCCCCGAGCTGCGGCCCTCCGTCATGCCCGTGCTGGCCTGCCTGTTCGCGGTGCACGCGGGCTCGCACCTGGCCGCCGTGCTGCTGGACCCGGCCGACGCGCCGCTGCGCCGCCTTCGCGTGCGCACGGCCGTGCCCGAGTTCGACCGCACCAAGCACGCCCACGTCATCGAGCACGGCCGCTGCCACCTGTGCAACATCGCGACCACCGGGCCGCGCACCAAGCACTGCAGCGTGTGCAACAAGTGCGTGGGCCGCTTCGACCACCACTGCAAGTGGCTCAACCACTGCGTCGGCGGCCGCAACTACGCCGCCTTCCTGGTGTGCGTCGTGTCGGCCGTGCTCACCGCCCTGGTGGTGGTGGGCGTGGCCGTGGCCGAGCTGGTGCTGTACCACGTGAACCCGCACTGGCTGTCGCCGTGGACGTACGTGCCGTACAACCGCACGGTGGGCAGCGTGCCGTCCGACGCGCACTTCCCCTTCCAGGACACGGCCTTCTTGTGCGTGGTGAGCGCGCTGGGCGTGCTGGCCGCCGTGTCCGCGGGGCTTCTGCTGCACCTGTGCCTGTTCCACGTGTACATCTCGCTGCTGGGCATCACCACGTACGAGTACATCCGCCGCTACCGCTCGCTGGCGGCCGCCGCCGCCGCCGCCCCACCCGCGCCACTGCTGCCGCCCGCACCGCGAAGGGACGACAGCGTGTCCACCTTGACGGCCAGCAACGGCGCGCTGCTGCCGCGGTCGCCCATCAGCAGCGCGGACGCCGACGTGCACAGCAACGTGGGCACGCCGCTGGAGGTGTCGCGGGTGTCCCAGCCGCCGCCGCCGCCCCCGCCGTCCCGCCCCCGGGTGTCGTTCTGCTGCGGCCCCGCCACGCCCATCCCCAGAGGGCCGCCCTCGCGGTCCAGCACCGCCACCACCACGGTGCAGTCGCCGTCGCCGTCGTCCATCCTGAAGCAGGACGTGGACGTGGAGGCCGGCCTGGGCACGCCGTACACCATCTCGTACCCGGACCGCGACAAGGCCGACGACAGCACGCTGTGCTGCGCCTCGCTGCGCGCCCCGCGCGCCGCCAACGGCGACGCGTCGCGTCCGCCCACCAAGCAGGCCGTCAAGGCCCCCAAGACCGTCAGCAAGCAGGGTGGCTCGGTGCGCGGCAGCAGGTCGGCGTCGGAGCTGAGTTTCCGCACCGGTGGCTACCAGCAGCCCGAGGTGACGGAGTACACGGGGTGCGAGTGCAACCCGGGCCGCATCCCCGTGGGCCCACCGCCGCCGCGCCACCGACCACCCCCTCGGCAGCCACCCCGGCAGCGCGCCGCGGCCGCCCAGTCGTCGTCCTTCCTCAGCAGGCTGTGCGCGTCCTTCTCGGCGCCGGGGCCTCGCGCTGGCGGCGCGGCCTACCCGCCGGGCGTGGGGGTGCGCCGCAACCAGGTGCGCCCCACGGCGGAGTCCCCGCAGGCGCGCCTCATGGGCAGTCGCCCCGGCAGTCGCCCCGGCAGCGCGGGCTCGACGGGCAAGTCCTCGCGCCACAACAGCGGCAAGCGGCACTCCGACGACCGTCCGCGACGCCCGTCCTCGGGCGACTCCAACAAGTACTCGCCGCTGCCCGCGCTGCCTGTACCATCGCGGCGCCGCCTGCAGGGCGTGTCCCTCAAGGAGCTGGGCGACGTGCTGGCCTACGCGCAGGACCCCAAGCAGCAGCCCCAGCCCGCGCAGCCGCCACAGCCGCAGCCGCGACGCCCGCAGCCAGTGAAGCAGCAGCAGCCGCCGCGGCGACACCCTTCGGACCCGGTGCGGCGCGCGGCGCTGACGCGGTCCGGGCGGCGGCGCAGCAGCACGCCGCAGCCCGCGCGCCCCAAGTCGCCCACACTGTCGCCCATCCACGAGAGCGGGCTGTCCAACCCCTCGACGCCGCAGCGGCCGCGCACCGCCCGCCAGACGCCGGACTCGGACAGCCCGCCCGGCGCCGGGCACGAGGCCATCCCCAGCAGCGACCCGGAGGACCCGGACGACGACGAGTACGCGCACAGCATCATGTACATCGACGAGGACGAGGGCACCTACTTCACGGCCTCCATGTCGTCCATGTCGTCCGCCATGACGCCGCTCACGCCACTCACCCCGCTCACCCCCATGTCGACGGGGTTCTCGGCGGCGTCCTGGGCCGCGAGCAAGGAGGCCAGGGCGCCGGCGTCCGCCTTATGACCCAGACCCCCTAGACCGCGGTCCGGCCCGCCATGCCCGTCTCCCGTCCAGCCCCACCCCGCCGTCCCCGCCAGACCCGTCCTCTTGACCAAATGACCCAAGTTGTCGCCAACGACTCTATTTTTGTAAATTACGCGAGTGTGTGAGTGAGATGGAGACCACCGAGGATCATCGTTGGAGTCACTGCCGTCCCCGCGGCTCGGAGCACGGAGTGGCACGGAGCCACTGCAGCAGGTAAAAGGGTAGTCTGCATGCGTTGGACCTGGAGTTGTCTCCTTGAAGGACGTAGTACTGTACCGTCGGCCGGCTTCTGCGCGTCGAAAGGAAGGGCGAATCAATCGAACGCCGTGCGATTCGTCGCCGATTCGTCGGCCGCTCGGCCGCGCCGCGCCGTGCCGCGCCGTGCCGCGTACAGCGTGACGAGTGTGACGCCCTCGCCACGCCCACGTCGGCCCAGGTCTGAGTGGCGACGTATTTGATCAATACGTGCACACGGCCGACCTTTTAGGACCTCATCCCTCAATCCCACTGTCGGCTGCGTGGGCTTGCCTGGGCTTGCCTGGGCTTTGGGCTTGCCTGGCCTCCCCTGGGCTTGCCTGGGCTTCCCTGGCCTCGCTTTCCTCTCGGAGCTCCCCGAGCACTCGGTGCTCCCCGACCGCACCAACACGGACACGGACGGAGGTCGATGTAGCGCTGTCTGTCTCTTTTATCGGAAGGGTACGCGGCCCACCAGTTCTTTTGTCGCCGTGGATCGAGGAAATAGGGAGCCGGGGGAAAGAAAGAGGGGAAGGGAGAGGACTCTCAGCTACCGGGAAAATTAAATGAACAACTGTGTGAGTGTGTGTAGTACGTGTGCGCCGTTTTATTTTTCACCGTGTGCGAGCCATCGCTCACAACAACTCCGCCCTTTCCTACGTCTGCGTCCAAAAAAAAGGGAATTAAAAAACACATGATTTGTATGCAGACAGGTAACCGGAGACCCATGCATGCCCGGGCCGTGCTCTACACATTTTTTGGAGGGGAATAATGTTTTTTTTCTTTGCTGTATCCACGAAATAATGGCACCTGCCACGCGTGTCACGGAGCGCTTGTCACTCCACCCGCTTTTCATTTTTATTTTCCGATTTGCCGTAGCGGCTTGCCCGGGCTTTTGCCCTCCCCCTCAAAAAAGATAAAAAGTATCGACAAAAATGTAATCTTTGTGGCGCCTTTCGCTATTCTGTGCGAAGGGGAGAAGGGCGAGTGAGTGGCCTGTAACCTGCTCGCGTTGTCGGCATTGTCCTGGACCAGGTCCTGGACGAGGTCCCGGACGAGGGCTCCTTCATGTCCTGCCCTTGGTGTCCTGCCTGGCTGGCCCTTTTGTCTTGACGCCGCGCGCCCTTTGTGTGTTCTTGCAGCCCTTGCAGGCCCTCAGCCAGGCCCTTCGCCTCGCACACTCACACGTCGACGCGGATTCAAGCGTTAAATGTGATTCCCGCCAGTGGCGTGCTCCACTTGCCCTTTTCTGCGCGGCACTCGCGGCAGCGGCAGACGGGAGGGGGGGTAACCTTCAAGCTCGTGTACAAGGGGGCCAATTCTATTACCTGTTTACCGACGTGAGACTACACGTGTTACGGCCTTTTAAATGCCCACATTTTAGTACTTTGGGGCCTTTGGGCTTATCACGTGTATTATGCGTAATACACGGTTTTTGTGTACAGGGTATTACGCGAGTGGTTACCCCCTCGAGAGGGAGGATTCCTGTCCTGCTCTGTGCTTCTAATAGGGTACTTCGGAGAAAACATAGACCGGAAGTCAGCGACAGATCGGGAGAAACAAAAAGCGTCGCGGCCTCGGCGGTGGTGGGGGCCGAATCGGCAGAGTGGGGGTAGCATGCGCGCGCCGCCTACACCCCACTCCGCCGAATTCGACCCCACCACCGCTCAGCACGGCAGCGCGACGCTCTTTTGTTTCTCCCGTTCTGTCGCTGACTTCCGGTCTGGGCATTCTCCGAAGTACCCTATTGGCGCCAAGTTTTCCTTTCCTTTGTCCTGACCTGAGACTATACGCTCGTGAAGCTCTTTCAGCTGCCACACATTTTATTACTTTCGGGAAGCTTGCCCCTTTTGGCTTGCGCAGTTTCCCCCCAAGAAAAAGGGGTGGAACGGGGGAAAAGGCAAATTGTGATTTGGCCCCCTTTCCCCTCAAAATTCCCCAGGCCCCCTTGGATTCCAGCCCTAAGCCCACTCCATGGCCCTGCGGAAAATTCCACGGGTTTGGGGGGGACCGAACCCTTCCCAAAGTTGGTCAAAATGGAAAATTTGGGGGAAATTTTCGTTTTCGCTGATTTGGGGGGCCCTGGTCCAATCAAATTCCCAAAAAAGGCCCTTCCCTCGACGCCCTAGTATTTTTAAACCCTACTCTTTCATGCCCTGTATCGGGAAGACGTTGACCACAACGTTTTTGGCTTTGACCGCAACGATTTTCCGACCAAGTTGGTCAAAGTGGTCGAATCTCGGAAATTTGCTGATTTTGCTGACTTTGGGCGGCCACTGTGCCAATCTAGTTGCCGTAAAAGGCCTCCCTCGACGTCCTAGTATTCTTAAGACCCTACCTTTCATGCCCTGTATCGGAAGACGTTGACCACAACGATTTTGGCTTTGACCGCAACGACTTTCCGCCTAGTTGGTCAAAAGTGGTCGAATCTCGGAAATTTGCTGATTTTTCTGACTTTGGGCGGCCACTGTGTCCAATCTAGTTGCCGAAAAAGGCTTCCCTCGACGCCCTAGTATTTTTAAACCCTACTCTTTCATCCCCTGTATCGGAAGGGTTTTGACCCAACGTTTTGGGGTTTTTGGCCCAAAAAGTTTTGCAAGGGTAAAAAGGTCCTCTCATTTCCCGGGGAAACTGATTTGGGGGGGCCCACGGTTCAATTTGTTCGTAACCCTCCCGACGGGAGTCTTTTAAAAATCCTCCTGCCCGTACGGGCACGTGACCAACATGGCGACGGCACGATCCGCCACGTGGCAGGGACGACTCGGCTGCTGTTATTGGGAGTTCCCCACTTTTCCAAACTAGTGCCGTAACCCTTCTCGCGCCATGTATTTTGCCCGACTCTTTCCGCGGTTAGGAGCTTGGCATCCCAAAGTAACCAAATAAGTGGCGGACAGAGCAATTTAATGTACGACCTTCCTTTAATCCGCTGCGCCCATGCATTGCGCTGCGCCCATGCACTATTGCTGCGCGCATGCTGCCGCCGCTGCATGCGAACGGCTCACGGCCCCCCCGCCCCGCCCCCCCCCGCCCCAATCTGCATCCAGGTGATAAATATTGCCCCGCCCCGCCTAGTCCAACAGGCCCGGAACAAGCCGCGTTACCTCGGCAGGTCCGCCTACCGCCCCACTCCTTCCAGAAATATCGAGCGGATTCAGTTTTGTTGTTTTTTTTCTCGGCTGCACACCTCCCTTAGATAACTACCGATGTTGGTTTGCTCGCAGGACGGCTATCGCTCGCATGTGCTCGAAGGGTCACACAGGTGCGACCCGGCCGGTGGGTGGGTAACCTAGTCTGATTCCGAACAGTGCTTCGCTAACGGAGCGCCCCGTGAGTGCGAGAGAGACAGAGCGACAGAGCCGGATGGTGTAGTGGTGGTAAGAAACAACCCAAACGTCGTCGGCGTCGTGAGGCACATGTGGCACATGTGGCCGCGGCCGGCACACGGCGCCCCTAAAGCACCTACAGTTCCCACCCCCACCAACCAACCCCAGCCCTTCCCCCTCCCCCCCCCCCCCACCCTGCTGCCATGCCTGCTGGAACGCGTTCGTTTTAAGTGTCAACAGCAACAGCCGAAGCGTCGACGCGTCAGCGTGTCGGTACGGTAGAGTCGGCAGTGTCTCGCCCAGTCTCGCCGCGTAAACAAAGCCAAGCGGCCGACCGAATGAACTGATGGTGTGCTTGCTGTGTGCCTTTGCCTCTCTGGAAGTGGTGGAAATATTCTTCTTTCTCTTCATCCTTGCGTGTCGAGTTTGCTGGGCTGCCCTCCCGCGCCTCCCGCGCCGCCGTGCAGACAGTGGTGCAGAGACAGACGCAGACGCCTGAAGTCTTTGACGACAGTGTGGGCCTTCCCTCTGTGTCATTTACAAGTACGTATTCAGTTACCTTCAAGTTGAGAATTGCGACCGCGTCGCTCATTAGTTGAAAATGGTTGGTGTCGCCCGTCGCAGAACGTCCTCGGCCACTCGAGCGAAGTTTGCGACTGAATTTGAGGCACTGACTCTGAAGTAGGGTTAGGTCCACTGATAAGGTTGGTCCTTGTTTGGTTTCATTTTTAAGGTGCTGCAATGGCAGAAACAGGACCAGAACTTATAGTACAGTGCCCGTATGAGAAGTCTCATAGAGTGCGGCGGGCTATATTCCCTATGCACCTGGCTAAATGTGCAAGAGATGCCAAGTACGCACTTGCTAAATGCTCATTTAATTACACTCATCATGTTCGCCAAGAAGAGTTGGAAGTAAGTTTGTTTACATTACGTTAAATCACTTTATGATTTTCTATTAAGGTGGATAAATTCTAAATTTTGTTTGTTTACTACAGGAGCATGAAAAAAATTGTCCAGATCGCTACTCCTTTGAGGCGAGTCTTGTACAAATTAAAGAAGACAATTACTTGGCAATACCCTTTGAGCATATTGAACTACCACCCAGCACTGAAAACTGGGATGATGTAAGGCTTTTCTCTTGTGGTTAAAACTTCTGTGTGAATTTCTAACCACGGTACATTCTTTTACTCTATTTTCCTATTTCTAGGGTGCCGTCAACCATTTTAATCCGAAAGCAGTAACTAATTCGGAGGATCGAGAAAAATTTGTTATCCGCACCAGGCATTGCCTTGCTCCAGCTGAGAGGAAAGCTTTCAGAAGTAAGCAAATTGAAGAAGCTCAACACTTTGAAGAAAATCAGAAACTTGTGGCACCCCAGCCGACAATCCCCCCTGGCAACAAGGTGGTAAGTAATTTGTGAATATCTGTTTACTGCAAACATTGAACCAGTGAATTCTCTACCATTGTTTTTCATAACATTCTGTTTCTTTTTTAGGTACCCCTGTATGAGCGATTGAGACGCCCGATGTCAGCCTCAACCTCGGCTACTTCAAACCAACCTTCTTCTGCTCCTGATTCTATCACAAGATTCTTTAGACAAAAGCAGTCCTTGTCCCCTGCTGCTACTGCATCGCTAGATTTAGTCCCTGTCCCCACCAAAGAGGTGTCCAAGGATCCCACGTCTGTTACTGTGAGCGAGCAGCCCACTTCAGGATGGTTGTCTACTGGACGAGGAAAAGCGATTGTTGCTTTAAGGAATTCATTGGACAGCCATGTGTTGCCTGTTGGATTTGGACGTGGCAAAAATGTTTGTTTTATGTGATTTTTCAATTGTAGATTTATTCATTTGACTACATGGCTGACTATTTTTTTTTTTTTTTTACGTATCTAACCAGTGTGTGTTTATGTTACTTTTCTTTTCTAATTCTGTCAATATGTTTGTTTCTACTTGTTGTCCTTCCTGTTTATGAATGAATAAATAAGAAATGACGCCAATGACTCCTTTGATTCAATCCCCCTCTCCTCCCCCAAGTCGAGGGTCGTGCTAATCAACTCGCTTGGCTCTGAAGCCGTGCTCCAGCCTCAAGCCTCGCTGCCCCGCGCGCTCCGTTCCGCTTGGGAGGGCACAGGCACTGTAAGGCACTGGCCCGGCCGGCCTCTTTGGCGTTTGATAATTGCTCCCTCCCTCCTCGCAGCTCTCAGCCCTCCCCCAACCCTCCAACTAGGCCTCCACCTTCCACCCCATGCGCCTTGCCCTGCGCCCCGATGAGGACTTAAACTTTTCCTCGCGCCCTGCCCGAGGCCCGAGGGCGTTATGACTCTGGACTTTCAGCACTTGGCCGTCGGCCGGTCTTGGTGTTGTGGAAATAAAACTGGAACTGCACCGTGGGGGCCTTGCCCGCCTGGTCCAGAGTGCCGCGCGTGCCGCGCCGCGGGGCGAACCCTTCTCTAAGCTTGTCCATCATCCTGTTGCAGGCCATGCTCCCCGACGCGGAGCCCGAGACGGCGGCCGAGGCCGGCGCCGACGTGAAGCGGCCCAAGCTGTGCGGCGAGGCGTTCTGGCGGTCGCTGGGGTCGCCGAGGCTCGTCGTGGCCCCCATGGTGGACGCCAGCGAGCTGGCCTGGAGGCTGCTGTCGCGGCGCCACGCCGCCGACCTCTGCTACACCCCCATGCTGCACTCGTCCGTGTTCACCAGGGACGCCCGCTACCGCGCCGAGGCACTGGCGTCCACGCCCGAGGACCGGCCCCTCATCGTGCAGGTGAGTGGACCGCCGCCGCTGCAGACGCGTGCAGAGCACCAGAGTCCCTAAATGGGACTCGAACCGAACGTGTGACCCCACCAATGGGTTGCTCTCCAAATGAGGAATCCATTGGTGGGGTCACACGTTCGGTTCGACCTCTCGGGCGGTGTGGCCCTCAGGAATCAGGATTATTCATCTCCGTTCGTGTTTTCCTTTCCAGTTTTGTGCCAATAACACTGCCGTGTTGCTGGAGGCAGCGCTGCTCGCGGAGCCGTTCTGCGACGCCGTGGACATCAACCTGGGCTGCCCGCAGGCCATCGCGAGGCGCGGCCACTACGGGTCCTTCCTCCAGGACGACTGGGACCTCCTCAAGGACATGGGTACGACGCCGTGCCTTGGCCGAGCCCCTGGCTGCCTGGCCCTCCTGGCCCTGGCGCGCACGTGTTCGCAGTCTGTTTTCGATAGAAGTTATCTCTGTTTAGCCCCGACGGCTATAGACTCGCTGATCCTCGCAGTCGATGTGAAGGCCGTCAGGACCGTCAGGCAGGAGGAAAAGAAAGTGGAGTTTCTCCTGCGAGGTGGGCGGGCTGGGGGAGGGGGCATGTAGCGGCTGTGTATTCGTTATCAGGCTCGCAGCAGAGCGGCAGAGCCCCAGCAGAGCCTTGCCGCTACCCCCGGCGGGGCGCCCCGCGGCCCCACACGACCTTCACTGTAAAAGGGCTAGACTCTAGACTGGCGGTGGTGGCACTGCGAGGGCGGCGTGCCCTGCCCAGCACGCCCAGCCTTGCCAAACCGGGGCAGATATGCATTCTTCTGGGTTCTGGGAGGCAGTGGCGCTATCAGATTGAGCCAGATGCGGGTCCTGCCATGTTGCCATGGCCTTTGCCAATACCACGCCTGCTGCTCCTGAAGGCTGCAGCTAGAGCGATTCCGCACTCGCTCTGTCTCTCTCGCACCCCTACGGCCCGCCCCTGGAGTGCGAGAGAGACAGAGCGACTGGGCCTGCCTGACGTGCCTTTTCTTTGTTGCCGCAGTGAGCACCCTGAACGAGCGCTTGTCGGTGCCTGTGACGTGCAAAATCCGCGTCTTCCCCGACGTGGCCCGCACCGTGGAGTACGCGCGCATGCTGGAGGCGGCGGGCTGCCAAATGCTCACCGTGCACGGCCGCACCAGGGACCAGAAGGGGCCGCTGACGGGCCTCGCCAGCTGGCCGCACATCAGAGCCGTCGTGTGAGTAGCGCAAATTTCCAACCAAAGTGAATCACTTTGCTTTTTGTTCCGAAACTTGATTTTATTTTTCAAACATTCTCGTATTCTGTCTACAGGGAAAGCGTTAACATTCCAGTCTTCGCTAACGGCAACATTCAGTTCATTCAAGACGTAGACCGTTGCATTGCTGAGACTGGAGTCAAAGGCGTGATGTCTGCTGAAGGCAACCTCTATAACCCAGCCTTATTTGAAGGTACCAGCCCCCCTTGCTGGGAACTATGTTTGGAGTACTTGGACTTGGCAGAAAAATATCCCTGTCCAACTTCGTTTGTCAGAACCCACCTTTTCAAAATGATGCATCACCTGTAAGTACTGAAATTGTTTGTGCTGTATTCAGTCACCATTAAATGTTTATTCTTCCAAAATATTTCTTTTCAGCCTTTCATTGCCAGAAAATGCAGCTGAGAGGCAAGGTATTGCTAAAGGACAAAGCTTAGCTGATTTTCGACAAACAGTTTTGACTCTGCGAGATAGATTTTTGCCATACCATGACGGTATACAAGTGTTTGTTGATAATGTTGATGGTGAGTTAAAATTTTTGAGCTTTTTCCATCTTAAGTTGTGAGGAATATTACTTTCAACTTGCTCACCTTTGAATTTTTCAAACTGCAGATACCTGTAATTTGAGACTTCCACCTTGGCTCTGCCAACCTTATGTGCGAATCCCTCCAGAGGAACATTTACGTAAATTAGCAGACAGACAAAACAAGAATGATGAGGTAAATTCTAAACATTTTGAGCTGTTTTCGTTTTTAGTGCTTTTACGGTATAATATTCCCTCTCTTCTGAAATATCCACCAGCCATCAGTAGGAGAGAAGAGATGTCTAGAGGAAACTGAAGAAGATCCATCAACACCTCAGTTATCAAAGAAAAAATTGAAGAAACTTCAGCACTCTCAAAAGGTCAAGGCAAATCCACATATCAGAAAATGCCAAGAGAAATGCTCTGAGTGTGCCAATCCTCTTGTAAGTTTATTAAGTCATTCATCATCACTTTTTTGTCACTTTCTGCTTTTATGGTTGGTGATTTTTTTTTTGTTGTGTTTCTGTTTTTGGTAGGGCCAAAAGTGTGGATTCAAGCTGTGCAGAGCTTGTTGCCGAAAAGCATGCTTCTCTGAGAAGAGGGATTGCACCGGTCACCGGATATTGACAAAGACTCGTTATGAAAAGCTTCTGCAGTATCAAGCTCAGGAAGCTGCAGCCGGGGAGGAACAAGCAAAATCAGACTTCTCTGAAAAAAATAACAATGCAAGCTCAGAAAGTGGAGATGCCTGTAATCTAAGTAACAATGGGCAGCCTGGTGCTGTCTCGGACAACGTCTCAGTTTTGCAGAGCTGCAGAGAAAATAAACAAAGTGTTTCTGTTAATTCATCCAATGACAGCAATGGTGTTTAGTCATGCTAGCCCTTGTTATACTTGACTTTAATAAATGACAACTGACTTCGGTAATTTTTTTTTAGGATCAATTGGCATGTGGGTTTGAGGTTCTGTGCGGTAGATCGCGGGGTATAAATGCAGTGACAATGCCATATTACAGTAAAGCAAAAGCCAATATAAAAACAATTTATCTATGTTAATTGTGTCCATCAAATTTCTTAGAGTGATTGTGGTATGAAATTGTCTTTGCATTATTTTTAATACGCTATATACATATATATAATATATCTTTCTTGAAACTGATAGAACATGGCTGTGATGTTTAATTTTAGGGTACTGTGTTTTTAGTAAATAAGATAATTTTTCTGACATTGTACCTAAAGTTTTGTTGACATTTTTGTCTGAGTTATCTCTCTTTTGTTGTGTACGTATGGCTGTGTCATTATGTGTGGCTATTCATACTTCATCAACATTTATTGGAATAATGAATGTGTATCAGTCTTTCTTGTGCTTTAGACTGAAGGACTTTTAATGAGTTTTCATAGAAGACAATTGTGAGACATACACCTAATGGGTGATTCAAATAGGGCAATTCTGTAAATTTTGATTTGAATATTCAAATTTTGTGTGGTAGAATGAATGTTGAAAGAATGCTAGATTTCTGCATCCATATTAGAAAGTAGGCAATTTCTTTAAAGCCACTACCATACTAAAAATGCATACTGGACAATAATTACTGGTGACTGTCCCTTCAGGAGAATTAGAAACATTCATGACTATAGTGATGTAGAAAATACCATATCTGGCTTAGTAGCTTATAGTTCAAAATTCATTTTGTCATATCGAGGTACTTACCATGTTAACATGGTAATATGGTGCTCAGTAGTTGATTAATATAAAATGTCTTTAATTTTTAAATGTTGCAACAGCCAGAGACAGCTTACCAACCAAGTGGTTGTGGTATATGTCTCACATAGTAGCTACTTTACTTTAAATAGGCAGAATTTGACTACTGTACTTAGTTGGATTTTATACCAAATGTACAGGTGATACAAATTGTAAACTATATTGTTCACTGGTCTAAATTTTTGTTTTTGTTTTGAATTTGTACCAAGCAGTAAATCTACTCAGAAACTGATTTTGGGGCCTATGTACTTTAGCTAAAAGAATAATATTCTTTGCATTTACTGACTATGTGGTTTCTATGTGGACCAACCATACTTCTTTCCCTGTTTCTGAACCATACTGGTAGTAATTTTTCACTTTCATATGCCTGCCCCAAGATAATTCTTGAAGATTCTATATTTGCCTATTTATTTTAACATATCAAAGGATATTGTGAATTACACTAGTTATTGACTTTATTGTGCAAATATGAGGAGACTGCCAATGGGATTACCGGGGATGATATGCAAGTGTGTGTATCCTTCCTTTGTCGATCAAGTGTACTGAAATACGAATTTTAATAAAGTAAAATTGTTGATGTGATTTTTTTTCTTTTTTTTTCCCCTTTAACTTTTTACACAAAGGAAAGTTGTATCGTTGTGTCTGTACTTACCCTTCACTTGGGTTGACAGTTTAGTTCGGACATTCTTTTGTGTAAACTTCAACATTTATTTAAATGATTAAAAAAACACAAAAAACCTACAGTAGTATGCACAGCTTGTCGGAGTCAACGCAAAATCTGCCAAAAACATAAGCTGGCACTACTCAGATGAATCCATTTCACAAATTTATCACAGAAATATTAAGTAAGCTCTCCAGCATTACTGTTCAGAACTTTTGGTTCAGCATTGGAGAACGGAGCGGCTTCTCCTCCTGTGCCTGAAAACAGATGGACAGTCACCGCATGGACAACACGTTTTCCCAAACAGTGGAACACAATTGAATTGTTTTCAGGACACTTACCGATTGCTGTTCGCGCCTCTTTTCGCTTGCTCGCTTGAGAGCTTCGGCGAAGAAGGCTGACGACACCGCACACAAAAACTTGAAAAGAGAAGGAAATGGTTAAAGAATTTTTAATAGAAGAAATATTGTCGGGGAAATAAAATAAGGAAAAGATGAGTGGTGTCACCATGAGGAGCGCCGCGCCGCCGTGCACGGCCGCGCTGTCCCGGAGCACGGCGCGGATGCGGGACGTGGCGGGGCGCACGCAGCCCTGCGAGTACAGCTGGGAGCAGTGGCCCGGGCCCGGGGCGGCGCCGGACCCGGGGGCGGGCTCGTCGCGGAGGCAGCAGGCCGACGGGATCCCCGAGGAGCCGTGGAAGGACGCGGGGCCGGCCGGGCCGCAGCAGCGGAGCTGCACACCACGAGAAGGCCGTCACCGTCACCAGGCTGTCTCTCTCGCAATCGTGGGGGGTTCCGCAGGGGTGCGAGAGTGACAGCGACGAAGCACTGGTCCAAGCCGCCGGAGCGCCCGTCGGGGCGAGGATAGGCAGGCCCGCCACGCGCATAAGGCTGGCGGGTTGCCTACCCTCGGCCCGGCCGGCGCTTCGGAGGGCAACGCGCAGTGGACCAGAAGACCGGTGGAGGCGGCCAAAACTCTAGACGCGTTTTGAGCTCCAAAGTCGCTAAATGGGCCTCGAACCGAACGTGTGACCCCACCAATGGATTGCTCTCCGAATGACGAAGCCATTGGTGGGGTCACACGTTCGGTTCGAGTCTCATTAGCGACTCGGAGTTTCGGCCGCCACCACCGGCCTTCTGGCCCACTGTGCAACGTGCACGCACCTCAGCGAACGCGGTGTGCCACTTGGGGTCGAGCAGGGACTCGTTCATGAGCACGGCGAAGTCGGCCTCGACGCGGGGGCTGAACCACAGGAACACCTGCCAGCCCGCCAGCACCGCCATGCACACCGCGGCGAGGGCCTGCAGCACCGTGACCCCGATGAGCCTCCAGCGGCGCTCGCTGCGCGTCACGCTGAAGGCCACGAAGCCGAGGGGGATGGCCACCAGGGCGGGCGCTAGCGGCAGCAGCAGCGGCAGCAGCAGCCACTTGGGGATGGTGAGCAGGGACACGAGGGGCAGCAGCAGCACCAGCAGCAACACCGCCGCCGTCAGCCCCACCACCTGCAGCAGAGACAACGCGTTCAGCGACGGGGCGTCGACTCATTCCGCACATGGCCGCTCTCGCTCCGTCTCTCTCGCACTCACGGGGCGTCCCGTGTGGGTGTGAGAGAGACAGAGCGGTGAAGCGATGAGCGGAATGAGTCTGCCAGAAAACAACATAATTGACATGTGCTGAAGGCAAGTTTCCAATTATTTTTTTTTCAGATTCCGAAGTTTGTTTTGCTATGGTTGGCAGCTCTGTAAACCGGTGGCGAGGTCTACACGCGAGCGAACTATAGCACCTTAGCACAGCTCACTCGCCTCGCTCGCCAGGGCAAAGGTTTGGTAAACAATGAACGGGCGATTTCCGTTCTCGGCCGGCCGGGGCCTGGCTGCCGTGCTATCGGGGCGAGTCAGAGCTCGCTGCGACCGCTCGCGCACCGACACCAGGACGACGACGACGACGATGTCGACGGGAAGGTGGAGGGGAGCGGGCACTCACCATGAACAGGACGTCAGCGACCAGGGCCAGGTAGCGGAGGCATCGTGCGGACGCCGCCATGACACCTCAGGTCAACATGGCGGCCCGCCTGGCGTAGCCGCGTAGCCTCGGTCTCGGTAGCGACACTGCCACCAACCTCGGTGGCGCGTGGCGCGTCGTGGCGGGGGCACTGCACTGCCTCCAGCAGGTTTCAGGGTTTCACCGCTGACAGGTTCGGGGCCTCGTTGGAGGAGCGCGCGACGCGACGGCGGCAGGACGGCCGGGCTTTCCCCGCGCGCTCGGCCAGGACCATCACTCGCGGGCCGACGGGCCGACCTGTCTATCTGCACGGCGATGACGCGGACGCGGAGACAAGGAGCCAGGCGACGCGAGGCACGGCCGCGAGGTGTCCGCCGGGCTGGGTTGGCACGACCGCCGTGCGACTGACCCGTCTGGTTCAGGTCTCGGGCCGGTCCCCGCCGAGGGGGTCCCCACCCAGGGGGTCCCCACCGCCGCCTCGGCCCGGGCCCCCGCGCCCCGCCTTCAAGTGCAGTACGGGCAACGCGAGCAAGCGGCCGCGTGGCGGTGCAAGGCGGTGCTCAGGCAATAAGTCGCACGCACTCTTTGTTTCGCTCCGCGCCTGCAGACTGATTCCGAGAGTCGTTTTCGTCGTTGTGTCTCTCTCGCTCTCGGGCATTCCCTATACTACTGCGGTAGAGACAGCGACGAAAACGGCTCTCGGAATCAGTCTGCTGACGGCTCGGGCGAGGCCGGGGTGGTCTGCCTGAGGGACGTGAAGTATGCATGGACGGAGCACAGCAGGCCGTGATCCCCGCCAGGTCTTCGTCGCCCACACCGTCTCGCAGGGAACCGCGGTATTTGAAGAGCGCGCGCGGATGCGTCATTTTGGCGAGGGCGTGCCTGGGCTACGGCAGGGCTAGGGCTGCGCCATGCGGCGCGCGGCGCGGTGTGGGCTCTGGGCGGCGTCCCCTAAGGAAGCACAATATTTGCAGTGGGGCAGGCCGGATTTTGTGTCTGCGACTGTTTGCGTTTGACTGAGCGGGCTGCGATGCGGCATCAAGCCCTCCAAGGCCTCGGCCTCGGGCCTCGGCCGCATCGGCCCCGCCCGAGCTAGCCCTGGTCGCCTCTGACCCGTGCCACTGTAGCAATGTCGAGCAGTGATACCTCCACTGTAAGATCTTCCGGAAACCTTCCAAGTTTAACCGAGTGCCCTACGTTTTTACTGTGTACACCACACACACCCAAACAGTTCGGCGCGGCGATTCAGTATTTCACCACTTCCGTGACAAGTCGTAGAGTGCCTCTATCTTGGTCGTCGCTTATTCGTTCACCTTCGTACCTCCGCGGTCTAGGTTGGAAAAGAGGGGGGGGGCTGCTATCTGATACGAGGAAAGCTGCAGTCGGAATGACACTCCATTGTGAGAGAAAGAGAGAGAGAGAGAGAGAGAGAGAGAGAGAGAGAGAGAGAGAGAGAGAGAGAGAGAGAGAGAGAGAGAGAGAGAGAGAGAGAAACATTGAGAATTGTGTCGGCGAGGCGTGGCGGCGAGGAGTTGTTGGCGCCGAGAAGTGACGAAGCGACGAAGTGACGAAGCGACGAAGTGACGAAGGCTCACACGATTAGATAAACTCTTCTTTATTTCACAGGAGGAAGAAACATACGGAGTAACAAATATTGCAGCCTAGTTTTACAAGGAGTAAAGAAACATATGTCACGTGATTGTTGTGCTTATCAGTTAAAATGTGTGACCACAATTTGGTATTTAATGACTTGGATTTGACGCACAGAGAACAGCTTGCTACGGCGTTCCTGGCAGAGAGGTAACTACGTCGGGCAGGCAAACAATTATAAAACAGGCATTGTGCGGCACGGGTTCGACACCCTTGGAGTCACGTCGTGCACGAGACGGAAAGCTCGCCCGGGTGTCTCGGCCAAGGACCCGCCCCGCTGTGCTGCGCCACTGTGGGTGCGTCCTTCGGTTCTCGGAACCGCAAGGCCAAAGAAGCATGCCCGATGCCCACACCGATGGACAAACCCGCAGTGCTTTGTGGAGTCTCGACCGAGACTCCCGATCAAAGGAAAGGTTTAAAACATTGACAGTGCCTCGTAAATGGTTGTTCTCAATGAAAACTCATTGAATTAAAAATAAACGCTAAAGACTAGATATAGCTAGGAATAGAGTATGTATCTTTGACACTGGTTCTAATTAAGACATCGAAATAGTTTACTTAGCATACAGCAACGTTTAGCAATGCAATTATGCGTAGATTCGATAGCAGTTCTGTCGCTGGACGGTTTTGGTCCGATGAGGGGATGCTTGAACATTCGCTGCAAGCCAATTTAGCGGCCTGCTTAGAGTACATGACTTGATCAAAAAAAGGGAAAAAAGGACACTTACTACTGACACAAAGCGAGGTGTTTCGCGACTAGATTACTACTTTGCTACAGAGTTGGGAAATCACAAGTTACTGGCTGGCCAAAGTTAAGTCTAGAATGGGGAAAATTAGTAGGGCATCCAAAAAAACATCCGATGTTTAATTACACAGCGCGTAAAAGATAAAAACGAAAATAGATAATCAGGTAATATGAGATGGCCTTCAACGACTTGGATACGATGACGTCAGGTGCAGTTTGAGCCCTTCGTTGAGAAAAATAAAAAAGAGTTGTTGAGACTTGTTTCGCTCAACAACCTCCAGAGGCGCTGCTGCTGCTGATTTGACGGGACGAGCTCGTGTCCCCGATGAAAGGCACCAGCTTCTCCGGCGACCGCCGCGCCGCCTCCAGGATGACGTCGAGATGGCGATGTAGTTGACGCCCCCCGCCCCCCTCGCCCCTCACTTGGAGTCGTCGTCCCTCTTCTTGATGGCGGACGCCAAGCAGCAGGCGAGCACGATGCCAGCGATCTGGAAGGAGTTTTAGTTTTAGTTTCACCAGAACGGAAACTATTTTTGCCACTCTATGACAAAATTGTGGATGGCACTTTCATCTCTTTCAAACGATTACAATTTCATCATAAATTGAAGACATTTTCATCGAAGTTCCTGTACTTGTTGCGGGCTACCGCCATCAATTTTTTGTAAGGAAATTTAGCATTGAAATTGTCAACAATAAGAGGCAAACAAAGTGTTCACAGTGTGGTGGCAATGAAGTCTGCGCTCCACAGTGGGCCAAAAGACCGGTGGAAGCGGGCAAAATTCTCGACGCGTTTTGAGCTCCAGAGTCGCTTAACAGGACTCGAACCGAGCGTGTGACCCCACCAATGGATTCCTCTCGGAACGAGCAATCCATTGGTGGGGTCACACGTTCGGTTTGAGACCTGTTTAGCGACTCTGGAGCTCAAAACGCGTCCGTCCCCGGCCTTCTGGCCCACTGTGCTGCGCGCTGTGGGGACTGGGGAGGCACCTCGACGAAGGCGATGCCGATGCCCACGCCCATGACGATGACGCTGCTGTCCCGCACCACGGCCTCCAGCTTGCTGAAGCAGCCCTGCTGCCACACGAAGTTGGGGTTGGCGGTGGCCTGGCACGCGGGGTTGGTCTGGTAGCCCAGTGTGCTGGGCGGCTCGTAGCCGCCGAACGAGTACCGCACGCAGCACGAGTAGGGCAGCTCGCCGGGCGCGCGCAGGATGCCGTTCCAGTCCCGCCAGTTGTCCGTGCCGCAGCACTCCATCTGCCGGACAAACCAAAAAAGAGTACGTGAGAATTGCATTGCGCATTTTTCCATTTTTGTGCCTCGTCTGTCATCGGCTACCTACCCGCTTCTGCACGTTGTCCCAGGCCAGGCGGTCGCCCTCGTCCAGGGTGTAGTTCCGCATGGAGTTCCGCAGGGTGTTCCGCAGCGCGTCGCTGAAGTCGTCCTTGGCCACGCCCGCGGCGATGCCCACCGCCAGCTCCACGATGAAGATGACCAGCAGCAGCGCGGCGAACTGCGGAGCCAGGCCAGCCAAGCCGTCAGACGGGTGGCGGTAAACGCAACACGCAGTGGGCCAGAAGACCGGCGCAGGCGGCCAAAACTCAAGACGCGTTTTGAGCTCCAGAGTCGCTAAATGGGACTGGAACCGAACGTGTGACCCCATACCAATGGATTGCTCTCCGAACGAGGAATCCATTAGTGGGGTCAGACGTTCGGTTCGTGTCCCATTTAGCGACTCTGGAGCTCTGCACGCGTCTCGACATTTGGCCGCCTGCGCCGGTCTTCTGGTCCGGCGGGGCTCGAACCCGCGACTCACCGCGATCAGCATGAGGTAGTTCTCCTTGATGGCGCCACAGCAGCCCAGGAAGGCGATGAGGAACACGATGGAGCCGGCCACGATGAGCACGATGGGCGGCGCCAGGATGCGGTCCTCCAGGAAGCGCTGCGAGCCGCCGAACTGGCTGAGCACCAGGGCGCCGGCCACGATGATGCCCACGCCGGAGAGCTGTGGGGCAGGGCGGCAGGGCGAAACCGGGTTAAATACGAGCACGGGAATAAAACCCTTTCCTCGCGCGGCCGTCGCCCTACTTTAGCACCCCCATATAGAGCGGCCAGTGCGGCGCCAGGGATGCTCCAGATACTCGGCGATGGCTACCCCGTCTCCCAGGAGGCTATGAAGGCCATCAACTTGAGTGACCTTCCCCCGCCGCCCCCTCGCCCCCCTCGGCCGGCGACACATTTTACGGCGGCATGAAAGTCAGCTCCCCAGCGCCGAGGCAAGAATGCCCCGTCGTAACCGGGACCGCCACCCGGGCCGCCACCCCACACAGTGGGCCAGAAGACCGGTGGAGGCGGCCAAAACTCTAGACGCGTTTTGAGCTCCAGAGTCGCTAAGCAGGCCTCGAACCGAACGTGTGACCCCACCAATGGATTCCTCGTTCGGAGAGCAATCCATTGGTGGGGTCACACGTAAGGTTCGAGGCCTGCTTAGCGACTCTGGAGCTCAAAACGCGTCTAGAGTTTTGGCCGCCTCCACCAGTCTTCTGGCCCACTGTGCCCCACCGCGCACCTCGCCGCGCACCGGCGCGAGAACAACCCCGCCGACGGGCCGCCGACTGGCCGGCCAGATCCACGGCCAGGTCTGCATGGGTCAGGAGTCACGGGGTGGCGTCGAGGGCCGGAGGGGCTGGAGGGGCTGCAAGCACGTCGCGGCCGGTGTGAGGACGTTTGCGCGGCCGTGGCGGCGACGGACAACGGACGGACGGCCTGGACATGCCGTGCCCGCGCCGAAAGGTCGCCTGTCAGCCTGGGGCTTGTCATGAGGCTTGCCATGAGCCGTGGGACTACCGCCAGGACGCTCTGCAGGAGGCTCGCCATGAGGTTTTCGGCTTTCCAGGTGGCTGCCGTGCCGTTGCCTTGGGCTCACCGTGCCATGAGGAAATAGCCAGGACGCTCAGAGGCTCCGCATGGGGCCCGCCATGTGACTTCAGGCTCGCCATGAGGCGTGCTGTGGGCTCGACATGAGGCGTGCTGTGGGCTCGCCATGAGGCGTGCTGTGGGCTCGCCATGAGGCGTGCTGTGGGCTCGCCATGAGGCGTGCTGTGGGCTCGCCATGAGGCGTGCTGTGGGCTCGCCATGAGGCGTGCTGTGGGCTCGCCATGAGGCGTGCTGTGGGCTCGACATGAGGCGTGCTGTGGGCTCGCCATGAGGCGTGCTGTGGGCTCGCCATGAGGCGTGCTGTGGGCTCGCCATGAGGCGTGCTGTGGGCTCGCCATGAGGCGTGCTGTGGGCTCGCCATGAGGCGCTCGCGTGCGGCCCTCGCGCTGAGGCGCTAGCCAGGGCTCGACACTCCAGCGCGTCCCATGAGGGGCGCGCCGTGGCTCGCCATGAGCGACTGCTTTCGCCGAGGACTCGCTGAGCGGTACGACGTGGAGTGCTGTGGGGCAGGGAGGCCGCTGGCTCAACATGAGGCGCGAAGCTGCCGGCGCCGTCGGCCGCCAGGAGCTCGCCGGCCCGTCCAGTCCCTGGGGCGCCCGGCCCGCTGGCCTCGCCATGAGCCGACAGCTCGCCGAGGACTCGGCGAAGCAAACCGATGAAATGATTTATTTGGAGGGGCAAAGGGGCGTGCCGGCCTGGCCGAAATTTAATTACGCGACAGTCATTACTGGGCGCCCTTCTCGGCGTGCGTGCCCTCGGCTAGGCCTAGCCAGGCCCGCCAGCCCCCTGGGGGGCGCGCCGTCGTTGACATTTTGGCGACTTTTAACCAGAAACTCGCTGCCGCTGGTTTGCTCCGGTGGCGGCGCCGCTGCGGCGCGGGAAGCTCGCTCGGCATCAACAGGCAGGCCGTGGTGGAAGTGGCGCCCTCGGCGCGGTCGGCCGCTCGGCTTCGCCTGGCTCCACTTCCGCTGGCGGCCGATGGGCTGCCTACCTGTGAGGGCGTCGCCGCGCCGCACCGCCACACCGCCACTCGACTCGAGTCCCTCTCCAGTGTACCTCTCCCTACCCGCCCCACCCCTATCCAGCCATCCGGCTGGAGCACCCTCGGCGGCGCGGCCACGCGGGGCACAGTGGGCCAGAAGACCGGCGGCGGAGCGGCCAAAACTCTAGACGCGTTTTGAGCTCCAGAGTCGCTAAATGGGCCTCGAACCAAACGTGTGACCCCACCAATGGATTCCTCGTGCGGAGAGTAATCCATTGGTGGGGTCACACGTTCGATTCGAGTCCCATTTAGCGACGCTGGAGCTCAAAACGCGTCTAGAGTTTTGGCCGCCTCCACCTGTCTTCTGGCCCACTGTGCGGGGCCGAGGAGAGTGCGGGGCAGTGCGCGTGAAAGCGGGTTGGTGTAGTCAGTGCTCGGGGCAGGGGCAGGCAGAACGCATCGGCACACCAACAACAACAGATCGCGACAGCGCAGGGCCGAGCCGAGGCGTTTAGGTCGTTTACCGGCCAATTTATGGTGGTTGAGGCGGACGCCCTAGACGTCGCGTGCGCCACCCCACCCCGCCCCACCCCGCCCCACCCCGCCCCCCCCACCCCACCCGCCCCGCCCTCCGCCGCATGCCACTCAGTCGATGACGACGGGGTCGGCCATCAATCATAACACGGGGGCCGTCAATATTGAACGTGGCGCCGCAAAATAATAAATTAAAAAAACATTAAAGAATTATATTTTTTAAAAAATAAAACAAGGGTGTGGAACACTCGGTGATTGGAACGTATCGTTGCTAACTGGCTTCGGCCTGCAGACTGTTTACCCTGCCATGTTTACTGCGCATCCAAAATAGAGGCGGGCCTGGCCCGGTACACGCATCGCGTAGCATGGCGGAGGTAAGGCGAACAGGGGCCAGTCGGGGTGCCCCGCACTCCCACATGTGGGTCAGGTTGCTGCGGAGGGCGGTGGCCGGGGAAGTGGGAGGCTCGCTGCTGGCTGCTATTTGAGACGGTCTATACGTCTTGTTAGTGCTCGGCGTAAGGGTGGCGAGCGCCTGGCCGCCGGGTAAAGACGGGCATCCCTCACTGTCACTCATTTTCCCGCAAGAAAAAATATCGCGATATTTTTTCTAGCCGCGGTTTTCCGCCCAGTCACTCACCGCGAAGATGAGGTTGAACACGAAGAGGATGTACTTGATGACGTTCATGCCACACGACTCCATGGCCATGGCGGCGGCGTGCGCGACTCGCGCGGGCAGCACAAGGAAGACACAAAGACGCACCCCGGGCCGCGGCGATGGCGTTCACGGCGTTCTCGGCGCACCGAACTTCCCCCGTCCTCGGCCGCCGATGTATACACACTGAGGTCCGCGTCGGCGAGTCGGCCCAGGGTGGTCGGGGCGGCGCGTCGCGGCGTGGCGGGGGGCGCCGGAGGGGTGGCGACGGCGACGGCAGCGGCGGCGGCGGTAGCCACCCTCGCCGTCCTGGAGGAGCGGCGGTAGCGGCGGCCCTGCGACCACCGCGACGCGCGGGGCAGCGTGGCTCGGCGTGGCGTGGCGTGGCGTGGCGTTGGCGCCATCAGGCGAATAGCGTGCGGCGGAACCGCACTGGAATGCCTAGGGAAAGGGGTGGGGGAGGGGGTGGGGAGCAGCCCTTGCACTTCTGTGTCTAGGCCGCGCCCCCGGCGCCTCGCTAGCCTGGCTTGCCTGGCTAGCCTCGCTGGCGGTGCATGATGTAATTAACTGAAAATGCGCCGCCCAGGATGGCCCACCTGCCGTCCTGCCCGCCCCGCCAGCCCAACTAATGCGATTACTAATCGGCGCGCGAAGCGGCCGCCGCGATGTAGGAGGTCAAGACTCTTAAAAAAGGCGAGCGAATCCATCATCCAAAAATAACTGCAACTGCGCCCCGCGACGCGCATTTTCTCGACACAGAATACACACCACTGCAGGGCGATCCCTGACGAAATTACTGGGGCACCCCGACTCCGCTTCCGTTACCTGTACTGTCCCTTTTTTCCCTTTTTCCGTCCGATCGGGGCGTTTTCCGCGATGCATATCAATGGCTATCATGCGCCGCCAATTACGTCGTGCAGTGTGTGTGAGGGGGAAGGGAGGGGAAGGGAAGGGGAGATGAGGGAAGGGGAGGGGAGGGGAAGGGTGTCGTGACGGCCGCGCGAAGGACGCGCGACGCGCAGTGACGCCGTGTCGGCCGCTTGGGGTTTGGGGTTGGCGTTGGGGGGCGGTCTGCTAGTGGAGGGGAGGGGGCGAGTCGTATAAAGGCGTATACGAGGCCACATACACGCAGCCGTCCATGCGGTCCGAATGGCACTCGTCGCGTCAGACGTAGGAAAGAGAGAGAAAGACAAACGGATTGGCACTCGCTGGAGGGAGATAGAGCGCGGGTTGTGCGCTAATAATAAATCGGAGGGCCCGCGTTTCTTCCGGCGAGGGCTTCTAATTTTAATTCCCCGGGTCGGAAGCAGGAAGCAGGGCGGCAGAATGGGCGGGAAGGGCGCGGCCCTCGCGAGGCCCACAGGAACACCCCGGCCGCCCTGGCCGCCCCGGCGCGTCGCATCCCTGGCCTACTTTGGTCGTTAGTGTTGCTCGCTGGCGCTGGCGAGCTGTTGCTGGAATGGCCACACCTCTGGGCATCGATTGGTGACCAGGCCACCTTGCCCGACTCCCCCCCCCTCTCCCCCTCTCTCTCACCCCTCCCCTTCTCGCCCACTCGTCCCAACGTCTTGTCGCAGTCTGCGGCCCCCGGTCCTATTTGCAGTCCTTCGTCGATCGCTGCAGCCCCCGCCACCCGTTTCGCGGAACCGCCCTCTGAGCACTGGCACCAAAGTGACGCGGGTTCGAACCCCGCCGCCGGCCACAGATTTAATTTTCGGCGCGGCGATCTGGACGCGTTCGACCCGACCCGCGTGCAAGTCTCTGGTGCGCAAGGCGTGTACGACACCGTGCACGGAGTCGTCTTCGTTTTCCAGCGGAGCACTTCGGAAAACAAACAATACAGTGTGTTGCAAGTCCTCCGGTGGGGTGGCGAACAAACGGTGGAGCCTCTACCCGCGACGCGGCCTGCTCGGCCTGCTCCGACTCACGGCAACCCATTAACCTGCACCTCGGGCCGGACCCGCCGGACAGGGGGTGGGGGGCCAAAGGTCACGAGTTGAAGGGTCCGCTCCTGCACTGACCCCACATGGCTTCGTTCTTTTGCCCCCCCCCTCCTCCCCCCCCCCTCTCTGGAGGAGAAATACTGACAATGTTGACGCGAGGTGCCCGCGGCGCTTGGCGGGGCGGGGACCTTGATTTTGTCATTCTGGTTCGGGAGGGAAACAAATGGCACTTCACTTCAAACAAATCACACTTTTCCACACTTTTACACACGCTCGCACACACACGTGTGCGCACACACACGTGTACGCACACACACGTGTACACACACACACACACGTGACTCGCCGGACACAGGTCCTCGCCCCCTCGCCCTGGAGGGTGCGGGGAGGGCTGGTGGCCAGGCCGGCCAGGACCCACAACACGTCCGTTGCTACGCTACAGCGCTGCCGGCGGTGCGTACGGGCGGGCAGCCACGCCGCGGCCGCGGGGTTGTTGCGTCTATGACTCACGGGGCTGGCTGGACTGGCCGGGCCGGTCGGGCTGGCAGGGCACCCTCCCCGGCGGGCCTCTCAGTACATTCACTCGGACCCCACCGTGTCTGCAGACCCATTCCTCTGTCTCTCTCGCACTCGCGGGGCGTCCCACATGGGTGCGAGAGAGACGGCGCAGAGAGCGGGCCGCGTGGGTGGAAGCGCGAAGCGCGGTCGAGGCCCTGTGGAGGGAGGAGCACCAACTGGCGTGACACCTGGGCCTCATGGCCGCCCCGAACTCGAACGAGTTGCACCACCGGGCGCAACGCAGTGCGAAAAATAAAAAGTTCAGCAAGAGATGAAGTTGGAAGCGAATGGCTGGCGCCGCGCGGCTACGCTAGTGTCAGACTCGCAGGGCGGGACAGTCATACGTGACTACCCCCTGACTTTTGGTTCGATTCCCGCCAATAAATCGATCATCAGCATAATACACTAGTCGACTTTTGAAAAACATTACTGGTAATTTAAAATTACATTTGAATAATTTGGCGACCCGCTTCCGCGGGGGCGCGCAGAAAAATGGTCGAGTCCGGTTCGCGCTGGTGCGCCGCGGTGCGCCGCGCGGCCGGCCGCTCCGACACTGCATTTGCATACGACTCCGAGATCGCGATAAGCAGCTGCATTCTTAACCCTCCCGCCGCCACCCCTCGCTCCGAGCCTCGCTCCCTGCGGCTTGGCGGCCTCCGCGGTCATCGACACAAAAAAATAAAAATAGGAAAAGGGAAAGAAACCTACGACGGTGCCGCAAGCAAAGTCTGCGCGAGCGCCGCAGCGCCCTGGAAACTGAGGGTCGCTTTCGTCGCCCTGTCTCTCTCGCACCCATAGGGGACGCCCCTTGAGAGCGAGAGAGACAGAGCGACGAAAGCGACTCTCGGAATCGGTCTGCTGGCCGAGCGCTGCAGAGCCGCGCGCCTGCAAAGCGAGGGATAGGCCGTGCCGCCGAGCACGCGTGCGGCCGAGCAGCGGGCTGCCTACCCGGCATTACCATTACCATTAAGGGCTAGACCACACATGATCGTATGCCATTTCGGGCCCGACACATGCTCGCCTGCACTGCAAAACGAGACAAGGTCGTCCTTACTAGGGTGACACGTTATACCGGCGGAGAAGAACCTCAGGCACGGCGGTCCGCGGCGGGGCGGCGGGGAGTTTTTTGCACGGACTAGGACGCTCTTCGCAGGGGTCTCAGAGAGCAGACGACGAGCGGGCCGCAGGGATTGGACCTCTCTAGGGACTGTCCAGGAAAGATAGCCTCCCCAGTCTGAGTCTGAGTCGATGAGAGCTTGGCTCTTCCATGAGGCGTCGATTCCAAAGTCCAAGGTTGAGACTGACTTTTGAGAGCCAAGCTGGTGCTTCTTGAGAGAAACGCAGGGAGTTTTGGTGGACGGCGCTTGGGGGCTCACTGCAGGGAGTTGCCGTGCTGGAGGCTAGCGTGCCGGGCGTGCCGGAGGAGGCCGTTGAACTGGCTGACCAGGAAGTCGAAGGGCAAGTTAGCCCGCGCGCCCAGCACGCCCAGCACGCCGAGCAGAGCCATGAAGAACGAGTGCGCCGAGCCAGTGTATTTTTATTTTTACTAGGTCGGGGTTCCGTGACCTTCGAGGACCTTTCGGCGGACGGAGGGCTGCCGGAATCGCCTCCAACGACACGCCCTGGCCGAAATGCAACAACACCTACAACGAAGTTCAAACAAAATCGAAAATAAAAGTGCCAAGAAGCGAAAAAAAAAATAAGCAGTGCGGAAAAGAGAGCGCGGCGCCGCTGTTAGCTCTTATTAATTTGAGCCTCAGCGGGTGAGTTATTTAGTGCGGCCTTATCGGGGTGGGACGGCACGCACGGCATCTCTCTCTGTCCCTCTCATTAGCAGGGCCACCCCTCACGGGACACACCCCGGTGGCCTACTTCCAGCCGGCTTGCAGCGCTTCGCGCGGGGACGTCCAAATGCCAAAGCAGCGTGAAGCAGGCCGTCGCTCGCCACCGCGCACTGCTTGGCGGCTTGGCGCCCCGGAGGCCCCCGTCGACCCGTCATGCTCGCGGCCTAGGTCGCCTCCCCGCGGTATCGATTGTGGTCGCGCCTTTGTTCTGCCATTCCTAAGAAAGGCCGGGGAAGTGGCGGACACCGACACCGCGGACTGCGTAGCCCTGGCGTTGCACAGTGGGCCAGAAGACCGGTGGAGGCGGCCAAAACTCTAGACGCGTTTTGAGCTCCAGAATCGCTAAGCAGGACTCGAATCGAACGTGTGACCCCACCAATGGATTCCTCGTTCGGAGAGCAATCCATTGGTGGGGTCACACGATCGGTTCGAGTCCTGCTTAGCGACTCTGGAGCTCAAAACGCGTCTAGAGTTTTGGCCGCCTCCACCGGTCTTCTGGCCCACTGTGCGTTGCCTCGCCGGGGTGGTTCTGGTTCGTTCTGACGCGCCGACGCGCCCTGAACGCCCTGGATGAGGGGCGGGCAGGGCAGGGAAGGGTTTGCGGAGCGACGCCGCCAGCGCTGATGGCCTACGGCATGGCCTGCGGTCCCCCTTCCCTCGGCAAGCAACGATAAAATCGGACTCGCATCATTTCTTCGGACGGCTCGGCCCGCTTCGCCGAAACCTTGGCCCACAAATGAAAAAATCGTTATTCCTTTGCGACGATACTGACCCGCCCCTGATTGGCTTGAGGGAGTGGCTAGGAGGAATGAAGTGACTGCACCAGTTGGGGTTTTCATTTTTTACAAAACAGTTTAATGGCTGGCGGGTGTGGTAGAACATGAAAAGAAAATCGGCAATGATGTCTAACTTAGCAAGGGTGGCCTCGGCCACAGAAGGCAAATGAATAGAATTTTTGAAGTGAAATATCGGTTGAAGCTACAGGTCTACAAGTTTTCATGAAAATATTTATATATCACATTAACACTTCGTCCATGGTGCTAAGCGAGCACATAAAATATCTCTTGTATGTCTTTTTATTTAATACTCTAAGCCATATCTATCAATAAATAAAAATAAATACAGCAACAACTCACTAAACTGTAGCCATCATACAAATCAAAACTTATGTTAACAAAATACTGCTGGCACATTTAAGACCTTACACATTTAAACCTTAATATTGTTCGGACTGGCTGCACAACATACAAGCATCATAAATTATTTACAATATTGTACAACTCCCATGAAAATTGTGAGATCCAACAAAACTCTTGGCTGGATCTTTCCCATTGGAACAAGACAAAATTAAATGTACATGGCAAAAATTTACGCCCAGCCAACAACAAAACATCACAATGAAGCTTAGTGCAACAACATGGACCTCTTCTTACATGATCATTTAAGTACTAACAAAATATAACAACGACTTAAATTTATTTTGAATTTAAGGCCACACTATAAGTAAAACACAAATTTTGAATTCAAAGGTAACAAGATATGTTTGTAGAGAAATTAACTATCAGTGCGAGCAGACTCTAAACCACACCAGTTAAAATTCCTCCGAAAAATTACGTGCAAATTTCCCTAAATTTTGATATTTTTTTAAACAAAAGGGCAAGGTGTCGTTCATCTTGAAAGCCGAATGGCGTCCGCTTCAGACGTCTAGGAAGGCCCGGGTGTCGAACCCGCGCCTTTTTGGAATGGTCACTCTCGGCAGGGCTGCCCGAGGGCTGCCCGTCGTGGCGTGGTGCCGCTCAGGCTAGGAGGAGGGCCAGGAAGGGCACCAGCACGGCCCACGACCACCGCAAGGACGCGGCGCTGCTGGGGGTGTCATCGGTCCAGGGCCCGGCGGGGAACCTGCAAACCACAACAGAGGTAAGTAATTTCAAGAAAAAAGGTTTAAAACAAATTGTTTTTAACAGTGTGGGCGCTTACTTGATCTTGATGGTGCCGCAGGCCACGCGGTCGCCGGCGTGGCCGGTGGTCAGCGAGTCGGGGTAGCCGCCCTTGCCCAGGTCGTCCTCGTGGGAGTGCACCACCACGGACCGGTCCAGGATGCCGTGCGAGCCCATCAGCGAGATGATGCGGTCCTCCATGCGGATGTCGGCGAAGCCGTTCTCGTCGGCCACGATGTTGCCCAGGTCGCCGGCGTGCCTCTCGGTGTCGTCGGGGCCGCCGTGCTTCTTCTGCAACAGGCAAAACCCAAGTCAGATAACTTCATTAAAAACAAACATTTGAGCCGGTATTTGAACCCGCGACTCACGTTCTCAGGGTTGAAGTGGCCGCCGGCCGCGGCGCAGCCCGTGCTCACGTCTCCCTTCTCGTGGATGTGGAAGCCGTGCTTGCCGGGCGCCAGGCCCGAGACGTTGCCGAAGATGACGACGGGGCCGTCGCCGACCTGGACGAAGGTGATGCTGCCCTTGACGGCGCCAGTCAGGTCCACCATGGCTCCCCGTCTCTGCGAATCCGAAACGAGCACCGCGTCAAGCCTCCGCTCCAGCGTACCGCGTGCATGCAACACCGAGTCCGGGCCAGCCAAACCGTTTTGCTTCCACTATCCGCGTGGATGTGCTCAGTGGGCCAGAAGACCGGCGCAGGCGGCCAAAACTTTAGACGCGTTTTGAACTCCGGAGTCGCTAAAAAGGACTCGAATCAAACGTGTGATCCACCAATGGGTTCCTCGTTCGAAGAGCAATCCATTGGTGGGGTCACACATTCGGTTCGAGTCCCATTTAGCGACTTTGGAGCTCAAAAGCCGTCCGGTATTTTAACCGCCTCGACCGGTCTTCTGACCCGCCGTGTGGTGCTGCCTGAAAACACTAGGGCCATGCTGCATGCTTCTGTGGGGATTAAGTTAAGCAGGTTAGTTTCAAACAGCGACGAAACCATGCAGAAAGACGAACCAGGATGCAAAGCAGGAACACAGGCATGCAAGGCTTGACCCTCGACCTATCGTGACTTGGATGACCCCGCCCACGCCGTGATGGCTATCCCAGGCGTCGCTCGGGTTGCCTACCCCCACCGGCCTGAGCCACGGATGAGATGATGGAGCAGCCTACTGCCTGGAGGCCTGGGGCCGGACACGTGCAGACAACATGCGCAGTCATGGACATGAACCGCAGGGACCTCCTGACCCGCATGACGTGGCCCGATACTTTCATGGCGGCCATGTGACTTCACCGAATCGCGTACTTTAGGGGGCATTTTCCTCAATAAACAGCAAAAGTTAGAGCATCGCGCATTTCTTTTTTCCCCCTTTCCGCGTTGCTGGTACAATAACTTTGTGCAGTTTACCAGTGGCCCGCCCCTAAACGACGCGGTTCGGCGAGCAAACGCGCCGGCTACTCACCACGGTGCCGTCCGGGTACTGCTTGAAAGCGAACTCCGTCGTCTCCTGGACAATTATATACAGTCAGTGCGGGGAAGAGGCGTGGCTGGCCCAAAACAAATCTAACTGCGAATAGCGCGGTCGGCCACCTAGTCGCGTGCGCATAGTGCGTGGCATCTCGGAGGAGGGGTGCGAAAGCCAAAAAGTCGCCAAGTGGTAAATTTGGTCAGGCGTTGTGTGGATTAGAACTGAACAAATTCGATGCCATAGTTTTATGCGTTTGACAGGACGAAGGAATCCTGGACGGCACACAGAAGCAGTGCAGGAAAAAAAACAACAAATAAGGAGAGAGTAAAACACACATGGGCGCGGTTACTTTGTTACTGAGGACAGTCATAAGGCGAAGGGCGCGGAACACAAAAAACAACCTAGAGATGCAAATTTTCCGGAAACTTTCAAAGGGTCGGAAAAAAACCGGAAAAGTTGGAAAAAAAACAGAAAATTTGGAAAAAAAGGAAAAATAGGAAAAATTAGTTTTTAAGCACTATAAACATGAAACCTACCACTTTTGTGCTTTTTTACAACTTTACCTATACTGACAACCCGAGATTAACAACAGCAAGCTCAAAAAACGCACGAGAAGGAGTCATAACAGGGTATAAGTAGTTTGAGTGCACTGAGAATCGTGTTCACAGTAGGGTTAAAGGTATGCTTTTAGCCTACTTTCAGGCGAAATGCCCGACTTTTTGCCTACTTTTCAGGCTGAATCTTTCCAATTTTTCCGAGGCCAGGGAAAAAAAAACGGAAAAAAACACTGTTTTTTTCCAATGTTTCCGGAAACTTTCCGGGCATTTTCATCCCTAAAACAACCTAAGCGTGTCTAGGACGGGCCGCTTCGTTACAGACAAAAACAAAACAATATTCGCCTGACCGGCTGGGCGCCGACGGCAGGCTGGCAGGCTAGGGTGCACTCTACAACTAAGGCTAAAGTAGACCTGCAAAGTAGGTCAGCGGGGCCATTCATTTCCTCGGCGAGGGTGTGGCTCTGGTCCGCAACGCACCCTACCTTTCGTTAAAAGTTTGAATCGTTTTTACTTTACAGGTTGGAAAAAGACAAAAAGCGGAAGCAAGCGCACCTCGTCGGCGGCGGCGGCGGAGGCGGCGAGACCCAGGACCACGGCGAGGACGCACAGGGCGGCGGGTAATCTGGCCGGCAGCATCTGGAACAACAACAAAAACATCATGAAAACGGAAGGGACTTGCCAATGGCAGCAGCGGGCTGTGCACAGTGGGTCAGCGGCCAAGACGCGTTTTGAGCTCCAGAGTCGCTAAACAGGCCTCGAACCGAACGTGTGACCCCACCAATGGATTCCTCGTTCGGAGAGCAATCCATTGGTGGGGTCACACGAACGGTCCGAGTCTGGAGCGACTCTGGAGCTCAAAACGCGTCTAGAGTTTTGGCCGCCTCGTCCGGCCTTCTGGCCCACTGTGCGGTGCCTTGTCACAGTTTCCTCATCCGCAGCAGCCCGCCGTCAGTGTCAGTGTCAGGGGCGGCCTAGCGGAACGACTCGGGGGGACCACACCCCGCCGTCTGCAGTGCAGCGTCCGCTAGGCAAAGTGGAGGAGCGATGCAGCCAAGGCCAAGGATGGCCCGCTGACTCACTCACACACGCTGACACACTGCCCACTTTGCTTGCGCGCCAGATTGAGCGGCGTAGCAGGTGTCCGAAACAGTCGGAGACAAAGTGCACGCACTCACGCGTGCCGCGCGGTGCCGCGTCATTCCCCGCACCGTACAGTCCGTACAGTGGCCCACCTGGCCGTTCCCACTCACTCGCGAGTTTGTTTGCCCGTCCAGAGGCAGCGCTTCGATTTGGCACCGCCATTCCCACCACTCGCCGCCGGGGAAGGTGAAAGTAAAGTGGTCCAAATTGAGAGACCATTGCGCGCTGCGTTCATTTCCTAGTGTTTTTTTTTTTCGATTTTTCTGTTGTTTTCTTTCGGCGGGATTAGCAATGAAACGGGAAGTGGACCGTAGAGGTCGAGACGACGAGGGCCTCGGCCAGGGCCAGGGCCTCGGCCGGGGCAGCCGGGGCCGCACGGCACTCGAAACGAGGCGCTTGCGTGTGTCCCCGGCATCGCGCCGAGGCGCACAGTGGGCCAGAAGACCGGTGGAGGCGGCCAAAACTCTAGACGCGTTTTGAGCTCCAGAGTCGGTAAGCAGGCCTCGAACCGAACGCGTGATCCCACCAATGGATTCCTCGTTCGGAGAGCAATCCATTGGTGGGGTCACACGTTCGATTCGAGTCCCATTTAGTGACTCTGGAGATCAAAACGCATCTAGAGTTTTGGCCGCCTCCACCGGTCTTCTGGCCCACTGTGCGGCGCCGAAGGCGAAGGGTCCGGCCCGGCCTGCCTTGCCGCCTGCAGAGGGCCGAGGAAGGGTTCGGATGATTGGTATTGGGTCCCAAAGGGCAGCCAGGTTCACTCCGTCTGATCGCAGGGCGGCCCGGTGACGTCATTGCTGCAATTAGCAGTGCGGGCACCACGTCGGTGCGGCCGGCCGGCCGTTTTCGCCGCCAACGCGCCAACCCTCATCGACGTTCTTCGACGCTCTTTCTCAGAACCCCTCCCCATTTGGGGCTGGCCGGCGTGGCGGCCGAAACGCCACAACAAAACAGCCAACGCGGGGCGCGGCCCGGCGTCGCGCAGTCTGTGGACTCCACCTGCCGCGGCACCATGGCGATGGCGGCACCGCGCCGCCGCGGCCGAAGAGGAAAGGCCGTGCTCTAGTTCGGGCGGCCGCCGCCAGTGGGCGCGTCGCGTCGCGGCGCCGGCCGGCTTGACCACCGCGTCGACGCGGGGTATCGCCGCGGGCACTCCCTCCGCGCGCGGGGTAGCGACCACAGCGACGCAGGCCCCCTCCCCCCGAAGATGTTTGGCTACCCGGCTCGCGTCCCGTTTGCCCGAGCAATCACTCAGGTTCAAACAAGGGCCGCTGCCGCCGCGCCCCGCCGCGCCCCGCCGCGCGGATGCAGCACCTGCAGCACGCCCCGCTTGACGTGCTCGCGGCCCGGCCCGACCGCTCTGTCTCTCTCGCACTCGCGGGGGACCGGCGGGACGCCCCGCGAGTGCGAGAGAGACAGACAGCAGCACTGTTACAAGCCAAGCCCCGCCCTGCGCCTTGTCGGAAGCGGCGGTCAGTGCAGCGCTGCATGCACGGCATGCACGGCAAGGAGGGACTTCCCACTGTAAATCAACGAGCGGCCGGTTTACGAGGCTGGAAAAAAGACCCGTCGCAAAACCGCGCCCTGGGAAAAACGTTCCCCCCCCGTCGTTGGGAAAGGGCGGGAAAACAACGGGTGTTTGAACCGGGAACCTGGGCGTGGCGGCGCGGCGCGCAAGGTCAGGGACGAAGGGCCCGAAGGGCAGGCGAGGCAGCGAATTCCAATTCCAGTGCAGGCCCTGGAATGCGCCGCGTCGCGCTGCGTCGCGCCACTACGACCTACGACGGCGCGTCGACGGCGTGCCTCTACGCGAGCCGCGAGCAGCGCGCCGCCCCACTCCAGTCATTCATTCACGCACAAATGCACCGGTGCAGCGCGTCGCGGGGCGTCGCGGGGCGTCGCGGGGCGTGGCGGGGGAGGGGGAGGGGTGACCCGGAGACCTCTCTAGAGGCGCGTTCGGATTAGAAACACCCACCGCCTCGCAGAGTCATTTCGTCGCGCTGTCTCTCGTCCATCGCGCTCGCGGGGCGTGCTGCCGCGCAGGGGTGCGAGAGAGACAGCGCGACGAAATGACTCTGCTGCTGCTGCACGACGACGTCCACGGCCGCGTCACTCTCCTCAAACTCCGTGACACTGTGTGACACTGTGTGACACTGTGTGACACTGTGTGACACTGTGTGACACTGTGTGACACTGTGTGACACTGTGTGACACTGTGTGACACTGTGTGACACTGTGTGACACTGTGTGACACTGTGTGACACTGTGTGACACGATGCGATGTGGGTCACTGGGGAGCGACGGCAGCGCCGCATCGGCCCAACGAGCTTCATTAGGCTAAGCAAGCGCACTTCACGGCCGGGGGGGGGGGGGGGGGGCTAGCCCCGCATCGCACGCATTCCGCCACGCACATGCGTTTCAGCAGATGAAGTGAAAACTAGCAGAGCCGGCGGAGAGACTTGAGCCAGGCGACAGCGTGGCGACAGCGGCGGTGGCGGGCAAAGACGATAGACTCCCACGAGATGACCAGATCGAAACCAAACAGTAGCTCCTCCACTGTTGGTGTATTTTTAAGCGTGAAACATAGACGGTGTGCGGCCAGGTATGTGGCCCGGCCGGCGGGCTGGCGCTGCTGGCGATGGTGATGTAAGGCACGGAGCAGGGGAGGGGCGCGCCGCCGCGCCGCTCAGCCAGAAACAAGTGCCAACAAGTGCCAATCAAACGACTGGCAGGGAATTCCGAGCCCCCCGAGGCGTATCGCTTGTCCGATGCCTCCATGCAGGCCGGCCACAGTGTAGCACCACCGCACAGTGGGCCAGAAGACCGGTGGAGGCGGACAAACTCTAGACGAGTTTTGAGCTCCAGAGTCGCTAAATGGGACTCAACCGAGCATGTGACCCCACCAATGGATTGCTCTCCGAAAGAGGAGTCCATTGGTGGGGTCACACGTTCGGTTCGAGTTCTCTTCAGCGACTCTGGAGCTCAAAACTCGTCGAGACTTTTGGCCGCCTCCACCGGTCTTCTGGCCCACTGTGCACCGGGGGCCAGACTCATCTTGACGGGTCGGGCGAGGCGAGGAGACGCACTGACACGTACAGGTATCTCACCGCGACTCGAATGGACCGGCCGCCGCGGACAGACTACATATAATGACCCGGGCGGCGTTGTTTTGAGAGCGCCCCCTCCCCTCCCCCACCTCCTCCTCGTCCGTGCCAAAGCGCCAAAGCTTCACGTGGAGTGGCGGTGATGTCACGACGCCGGGCGCCGATTCGACGCGCCGACGGGTTTGGGTCCCCCGGGGAAAAAGTCTCAACAAGTCAAAAGGGGCCGCCGAGAGCGAAGCGCCGCCCACCTTTGTGGGGGAAGTCCATCGGCAGCAGGCCAGCAGGCAGCTTGACTGGCAAAGCGGACGCCGAGCGGAGCCGCGTCGCGCGGCGCACACGCCTGATAGGAGTCGGGTTGGGTTGGGACACGTTTCGAGGTCTAGCACTCCCTGACATGCTCTTGTGGCCACAAAAAAAATGCTCTTCGCCAGCAAAAATCCTCTCGACCTTCATAAATGCTCTTGGCATGGAGGAATGCTCTTGAGGTTTGCGGTTTGTGCTTTGAGGTACGATGAGCACGACGCGGGCATTTCGAAAAACGAGAGCGGTGCGAGGCGAGGGTCGAGGCCGGAGGGAGTGGCGAGAGGCGAGGCTGGGCGGCCATAGGCAGGCTGTCTCTCTCGCCGGCCGGCCGGCCTGGGCGGGCCGTGCAGTCTAGACGCTCCAATGCTCCGTAATGATCGATTATCGGAAACGGAAACGACAGTCAAACGTTCGGGAGAATAATGAAGGGACGTGTCCCGTCCGCCGGCCGGGCTGGCCGGGCCCACACTGAGAGTCTCTCTCGCACATGCACGGCGCGCACCGCGAGTGCGAGAGAGAGAGAGAGAGAGAGAGAGAGAGAGAGAGAGAGAGAGAGAGAGAGAGAGAGAGAGAGAGAGAGAGAGAGAGAGAGAGAGGGCGACGACTCTCGGAATCGGTCTGCGGCCGCGGCCGCCACGGCCGGCCCGGGCCATGACGCATTCCAATGACCCCAGATCCGGAGCACCAGCCGGGCCAGCCGCAGCTATCATTTGGCCCCACCAATTTGAAACACATTTTTACTTTATCTTTTTGGCGCCAGGCTCGGCCAGGCTGGGCGGGGTAATTTTCCATACCACGGCCCGGCGACATGTCGCAGTCAGTCACCGCACGATTGTTGTTTGGTAAAGACATGCATTCACCCACCGCCTTGACTTAATACAAACATCCAATGCGTTGGTGACTGCGACTTGCGTAAGCGCAAAACGCCTCCGCACGCACACGCACACAGGCAGACACTCTGAGCTCATCCTCTGCGCCAAAAGTGCAAAGCGCGTCGTCCGTCCCTCTCCGCCTCACTCCCGCACATGCATGCCGTCGCTCTCTCTCTCTCTTTGCGCGCTTATGCAAGGCTGCTCGTCGGCGACG